TAGAAAGAGATTATGAGGTCCGTGTTTTGTATATATGCCTTACGGGTATGTCTTCACCTTTCTCTGTACAGTACTTCTGCTTCTTACATACCAACTTTCTGTTTTTTCTGTGCCTCGTTTACCTTTTTATTCCATCATACACAGCTGCATCCCATGCCTTCTATATTCTTCATCACACAATCTACGCTGTCCTCCACCCTCAGAAAGTACCTCATTAACCTTCCTCCACCCCCAGACAGTACCTCATTAACCTTCCTCCACCCCCAGACAGTACCTCATTAACCTTCCTCCACCCCCAGACAGTACCTCATTAACCTTCCTCCACCCTCAGATAGTGCCTCATTTACACTTTTCTATCCCCCCACTGGAGGTGGCCATGCCAAGGGAAGGAGGCCAGTAACCTGTGTAGGATCCCTCCATTGCTGATGATAATTTTGTCAAGGGCTATTTTGAAACTCGATGCTGTTTTTGATTCTACAGCTTGGGCTGGTAGACTGTTCCATATGTATACCATTACCACCACTGCTTGGGCTGGTAAACCATTCTGTAGGTCTACCAGCCTCTGTGTGAAAAAATATTTCCTTATATTCATTCTGCATGCCAACTTGGCAAGCTTGTAATAATGTCCTTTTGTGTTGATGGTGCGCGATGTCCCAAAGAAATGTCCTGGGTTCTCATTTTCCATCTGTTTAAGGATTTTTAATGTTTCAATGAGATCTGCCCTATTGTGCCTTGTCTGAATTGTTAATAGTCCTAAGGCCCTCAGTCGACTTGCATAATTGAGATGACGTAGTTCTGAAATCATCTTAGTCATTCATTGTTGCATCTTTTCTGGAGATTTTAGATCCTTCTGGAGGTGGGGTTTCCATGCCTGTATACAGTTATACAGACTGGGACGTGCTTGAGATTTGTACAGTTAAAGGAGCATTTTTTTATCTTTGTATTCAAAGGTACACTTTATAATTCCTAAATCTTGATTTGCTTTTCTCACTTCTGCCCCCACTTGTTGCACTGCCTTCAGTGAATGATCTGTCACAACGCCAAGATCTTTCTCCTTATCGACAGTAGCCAGGAAAGTGTTATTAACCAAATAGTTGTGACTAGGGTTGTTGAATCTTAAATGTAGGGTCTTGCCCAGTATTTGCCAACAGTGCGTGACAGAGACGTGACCGATCGCCCGGGTGGCTAGCGAGCCGATCTTTTGGTGAAGAGGATAAATGAAAAGGAAAACTGCTCAGAGACGTGACCGATCGCCCAAGCGGCTAAAGAGCCGATCAGTGGTGAAGAGGATAAAAAAGAAAAAAAATTTATAAGAGCATATGCCAGTTTCGAGTCCATTTGAACAGCTCATGCAGGTCTTTCTGCATTGTTGCGACATCATCTTGACAATGTGGACCAATATATTTTCATATACTGTTTGTCTTTTATGTAGATCATAGACAATGTGGGTCCAAGATAGAACCTTGTGGTACTTCACTGAGAACATTTTTCCATTCAGAGTGTACTCTTTTTATTGCCACTCTTTGTTGCCTGTCTTTGAACCAGTTTTTAGTCCATGTTAAAATCTTAAAGGCTAGTTGTGCATGTGGGACTTTGTCAAGCGCCTTGGAGAAATCCATTTACAACACATCCACTGGTAAGCCTTGGTCCATGTAGTCTGTTTCTGTTTCAGACGTGAGTAATTTTGTCAGACAGGATTTTCTTTTTATGAGACCGTGTTGTGATGCGTTAATAAGACTGTGTTCCGTCAGGTATTGGTTGACGGCGTCCCTCAGAAATTTCTCAAGAAGAATTTGCATATACTGTATGTGATGTTAAGTTCTCTGCTGTATTTTTCCTACCTTTATTATATACTGGGGTGACAGTATACAATTTCCAACCTTTAGATACTTTACCTTGATCTAGGGATTTCCTGGATAAGAGTGAGTGGGGTGCAAATCTCATTTGCTACCTCCTTTCTCACCCTGGTCTGTGCTCTGTCCATTCCAGGGGCTTTGAATTCTTTCAGGCTGGCTACTTTCCTTTTGATGATATTGTCTGTAATTATTATCTCTCTTAATTCATTTTCCGAACTATACACTCTATTAGGTACTGTCATGTTATCAATTGTCTCTCGTGTGAATACTGATGCAAAGTATTCATTTACCCTAAGGTATCAGCTGTTGTTCTGTAATTAAATACCAGGTAGCGACGTGTCCTCCTAATATTACTTATTAAGTAATTATTAGATGTTTTAATTGCCTGTATGTTGGCCTGGCGAATTGGCTAGGAATTAACATACCTAGGTAGCATTGCTGAGCGTCGCATTCGAGCTATATCACAAAAACCGGTTTTTAGAAAAAAACGGCTTTTTCTGTCATTCTCGAGGGCCATTTTGTTTTTGTTCTTTAGAGGGTCGACAGTATCCTTGGCTTTCATTTTTTTGTCATATACATAAAGGGACTTGGGATTTTAATATTTGGGCCTAATTTCATCACAAAATGTTGTTTTGGTGATTTATTTTTCTGATTGGCCAAATTTAGGGCTCTTTTGTACACTACATAATCTTCATGCTGCCTTGTGCTTTGGTATTTCTTCCACATGAGGTATTTTCTCTTGCAAGCTTTCCTAGATCTGTGATTCATCCATCTGTTTTCCTGAGTATATGAGTACATTTCTCTTCTGTTAACTCTAGGATTTCCATGAAGTTTTGCATTGATTCATATTTGGCTGCCTCCTCTCTACTGATTTCCTCAGTTAATTCTCTGGAGTTGTCTCTCATGAGCTGGTAATCTCCCTGGGTAAAGTCATAGTATTCCTTCTCAATAACTTTCTCTCGACTATCAAAAATTTTATTCTATCTCAGTACTGTATGTAGTGGTCCCTGGTCGGAGTAGGTTTCTCCCCGATGTAGACCTTGTCTACCATAGTCTCCTTATTCATCAAGAACTAATTCTAGAATGTTATCTCCCCTCATGGGTTCTGACATATGTTGTGTGAGGAATGAGTCTTGAATGAGATCAAGGAATTCTCCCTTTTCTTGTGTGGTAAGATTCAGCCAGTCTATTGTCTCATGATTAAAATCTCCCATGATGAGGGCTTGTGCTCGAAATGCTGTCTGAATGATTATGGAGATCTGCAGCTGAGTCAGCCCCATAGCACACACCTACTGTCAGCTTGATTTTGTTTTGAGCTATCAAATCGCATCAAATTTGTTCGGATGGTCCTACAGTCAGTTCTGCTATAACGCGATAGTTGTGTTCTTGTAAAACATCGTGTTATAGAAATTCGCGTAATAGAAATAACAGGGCTTATGGAGAAAATAGGGTTAGGTGCAGATTACTACTCGAAATCGAAAAAAATTTAGTAGTTAGCCTAACACAAAGGATAGCACAGTCTAAATAAATATTACATTCATATCTAATAATGAAATCATACAGTAAATGTAACACTTTACCTTGAAAAAATATGAATATAACTTGATGGGGGAGAAGGGTGATTTTGAGGTAGATAACATCGAGCTTCTCTTCAGGGGTTATAGCCTTTCTTTTACGATCATCACCGGGAATGCGATCACCAGAACGCTTCTTGAAGATATTCTTCTTTACCATATTCACAGTTAATACCACAAAATTGGAGAAATAGTAAGCAAAAATCGCGTTACAGCAAACAAGCATTCGCGTTATACATATATCGTTCCTCTATTCATAAATCGCGTTAGAGCCAATTCGCGTTGTCAAATCACGCGTTATAGCAGAACTCACTGTATTTCATTTAGCTTGTCATTAATGGTTGCTGTCAAGTGTTCCTTGACATACAGTAGTACACCACCACTTCTTGTGGCCTTGTCTTTTCTAAATGGTGGATGATTTCCTGTGACACATCTTCTCGACCTCAGGACTCTCTAATTCTAATGATATCTGGTTGTTGTGTCTCCATATATGTTCTCAATACATCAGTTTTACTAACTAGACTTCTTGCATTTTGTACCAACACTTGATTGGCCCTGTTTCTAGAACTCCTTTTTGAAGACTGTGATTCTATGGCATTTGTTCACTCAGGGTTAGTATTATTACTGCACTATACTATACTGTGTATCATCTACTCCACTTCCTTAGTCATGTTCCTTTATTATGTGTCATTTTAATCTTAACTTATCCACTTTACCATAATCATTAATTTTGTTAATGTTACATCAGTACCTGCACATACCAGAAGTGAAACATTAATATATTCTTTAAACATGATGAATTAATGTAAAGTTGTATGATTATCTTACTGAAAAAGTATCTATCAATTTATCAACCTCACAATATGAACAGAATGAGTAACATGAGATTTGTTGAGCAGATCAATGTGTAATGAATAATTTGAGAACTGTTAGTGTACAGTACAAAGGTATGTGATTAAGCCAGTAACCTGCTCACTTTATTACTAAATGATGTTATACAAAAAGTTTAAAGTCTGTACTAACTGACTTTACTCTCACATCCACCTTTGACTTCCAACATTGCAGTAGAAAGTCACACAGCTTAAGGGTGATGGTCCTCAGGTAGTTTGGAGGTGTTGCACTCTCTTGGAAAGCTTTGTAAATCAAAGCAAAACTGATCAATGTGATGAATGTAGTGGGATTTTTTTTCTCAACTTTTTTCGGATGAATTGTTCAATGTAATTAATAATATTCCAGTGAATTATCGAAGTTCTATGCATTAACAACTGTGACTGTGACCTCCTCGTTTTCACTTCATTGATTTACTTTTGTGTATATGTGTTGAATTGTCATAAATATATGTAATTTAAAATGTAGATCCACTGATTTAAAGTTTTTGTCTTTAATAATGGATAATACAGTCAAGTGGGAATAGCACAAACGTTCAGTATGATGTTTTAAAATGTAGCCACTATCCCAGTATTCATATGATGCTTGCTTTTAATGTATTGTAATAAGTGTAATAATTGTTTATTGTTTGGTGATGATGGATCATATTCACTGATCACTGTCTTCTGCCTCTCCCCCACAGCTCTATAGAGCCAACGGTGCCTCATCCTCTTCCCACGAGCTGGGAGATGTGAGGTGCTAGAGTTGAGGCTGCTGCTACTTACTATCACCTCCTCACACTCTTACCATACATCAGTACCACAACAAATACCTTATCTCTGCTGAGTACCACGGTGTCTTCAGTCATTGTTGTGTCATCCTTCCCACGTACTCGCGTCATAATGCCGAATGCAATGTAATTTTAGTCGTGACTGTGGCGACTGGGCTGGTTGTTTTTCAAGTCTTCCCCGAGTCTCTGAGATAAATCTGATGGAACAAATGAAGGGGTTTATCTTTGAATATATTGTGTGTGTGAATCTTATCATAATATGAGATTCTGAAGATGGGTCTTTGTTTTTACTATCAATACTACAGGAAATTGTTTACCAGTTCAAACATCACTAAGGCTCAGGCAAGCCCATAATGTGACCTTCAACAGGTTATAGTTGACCAAGACTGGTTAAACAGATCCATGAAGGATATTTTTTCTAATGTTGATGTTTTAATGTACAGTAGAGGTGATGTAAGGTATAGGTAGAGTATTTACACACATTAACCTTACTGATGACTCCAGCATCAAGAAGTCACACAAGCAAGGGATGGGTTACTTACTGAAGCACCTGGACCCCAATACCCTCTAAATGCTCAAGACTCAGTTTGTGCATGATCTATGACATAATATGCAGGTTCCTGGATATACAGTATAGAAAAGTAACCTTACATGATGACTATGAATGTGTATAATATTCACTAAATAACATTAATCATATGCATAAGATTATTATCATAAATTGCAGAATCATGACACTGGTGTTGGAAATAGTATTTTTAGTGCTAGTGAAGGGGTAGACTGCAACATTAGTGTGTAGTCGGCATCACCTACAAGGAAAACTTGTGCTCAAGAAATCACAATATATTTCAGTATATTTCTGATCAAGAGAAGCATGTACTGAGTGATTTTTTTTTTGTGTTTAATACTTGAGACTTTGGACATGTTCTGTGTTGTGTGGTTTATGATAAGTATAGTGTGTATGTGACTGTTTTGATTCTGAAATAGAATTTTTGCAATGGAAGTTGTGACAATAATGATGTGTGTAGATTTTTGCATGCTCTATGGTTACTTCTCTTAGTGGAAGAACCATAATATTAGGATATGGTTGTCAAGAGATTGGGTACTCGATTTTACAAAAATCAGTTTTCTTATTGCTTTCATCGGTGATAGAAGTGTGTCAAGACTTCTGTGGTGTTCAACTTTTAATAACTAAAGTTAAGTACAAGAAGAATGCCCAGGAGGAAGCTAGTATAAATTTTGTGTGTGTGCCATTGACAAATGATCTATTTTACTAGAGTAATGTAGGCACCTTGATTCTCCCCTGGAAGATATTTTTTTTGAAGATGTCATATTATCAAAATTTGTAATTTTGTCAAAGCATGTTGTCCTTCTGTGAATTACGTATTTTGTTTTTATTTAGACTTATTGCATGAATATGTACAGTCTGTAGATGTGAGCTAAATTACTGTGTAGTGGACACAACTGTGGATTTTTATCCATTATAAATAGTTGATCAAATTTTTGATAGGCATTTCCTTTATCAAATCTTGTTCAAAAAGTTAAATAGGTATGACCTTTCCAGTACTAAGTTACATGGTTTAACATCATTGGGAAGTAATTTGTGAAAACTATCACCATCATTTGGTACAGTAACAGGTCTTACTGTAAATTTCATTCAAATTAACACTGTCTCTTCCTGGATAGGCTGAAAATATCTCAGCTAGGTAATACCTGTGTAATCTTTTCATTCGAACAATGAAGTTCCCAGTTATGTCTTGAAAGTATATCATGAGTGGCATCTTATCTGATCATATGTATTTATTATATTAATTAATGTTGAGTTAATGTTTTCATATCTAAGATTATTGGTGAAGGATACTTGTGAAAGTCTCGGGTACAAAATTAAGTCAGTCTGTAATGAGCACACAAGCCGTGTCTGCTATGTTACCGGTAACTGTACACTTCAATAGTCTGGACATGAAGCTAAAGGTAGATATTCTCCTTTAAAAGAGATTTCTGTATAGCTGGTGGGGAGTGGAAACTGTTACCAATTTTTTCACAGCATATTATTTTACTTTTATCATCATCAAATCAATTTACTTGTCAATTTAATTATTTTTTACTTCTCAAACTCACCAGCAGCAAGTACTGATCTTACAATTAAGCTGATTGTAGTGTTTTGGTAATCAACATTACACTCATGATAACCTGAATATTATTTTCAACACAGCAAGAACTAAAGAAAATAACACTGCTAGTTTTTGACTACCATTTCAACCCATGTAATAAGTCATGTTTACTGTGAACGGAAAAAGGAAGCTATGATGCAGATAAGGAAACAATTATGAGATTCTGTCACTTGAAATTACACTTACCATTAAGAGGTATTGTAGTACAGTATTTGAATTTTAACTCTTCTTCATATGTTCTAAATCTAAATACTGTAGTTGAAAGAGTTATTGATCAGAATTGTATGATGTAGAAGTTAATGTAAACATCTGGTAATAGAAATACACTGCACTCTATCCTCTTTGCCACCTTTTGGTTTACTAATAGGTTAGGGGGTCAATCAGTTCTCTACTGTACAGTGTTATATAATTGACTATAGAGTAACTTTTTTCATCCATTTTTTTACTCCAAGTCATTCCCTGCGACACTAAGGGATGGCTAAAGTATGGAGCAAACACAGACTCTTCCTTCATTTATTTTCATTCAATCATTCATTCCTATTGCTGTAACAAATTATGGTATTTCTACTATGGTATAGTATATAGTGCTGTACCCATTTCACAACATACTGTACTTAAATAATTGCAATCGAATCCTTAGCAAATCAAGCTGGCAATGACAGTAAATAATCCTGATTTAGTCATGTTATTTCAGTCACAAATTCAAAAGATAACTCAAATTTTGATAAAAGTTTTGGGCATCACATATTCCAGTTACAGTACAGTACTTTTGCTATAAACACAGGATTGAAACTTCAGCCATGTTTGTAGTTTATGGGACATTGGTTTCTTTATTTTGGTAGTGATATTGGTGCATTTCTAGTACAGGTAGTGGCAGTGATAATACCTGTACCTGTAGTAGTAGTATTGCTATTGGTAGTGTAGTACAATAGTGGTAGTGACATTAGCAGCAGTGCTGATATAAAGCAAGTGCTGGTATTCTATATTAAATCTTTAGCTCTTCTGTTTATAATGTGTACATTTATTTATTAATTTTGTTTTTGTTGATTGGTACTTAGAACTTTTCGGATTGTACTATAATGAATAGTTTTCAGTACTTTGCTAGCACACTACAAGGTTTGAGTCATATGCCAATCTTGTTTTGTTCTCTAGTCACTTCTCTTATATCAATATGATGTGATTTTCTCATCACCTGATGGTAGCCTCATGCCTTAGTACATGACTCCACCTCAGAAAACCCCAGAACTCTCAACTCCTGGTCACACCAAAGCTGTCAACTTAGGCCTGACCAGGAGTTGACAACTGTGGTCTGATTACATGATGACAGTGCTGTATTGAGGCTCACCTCACCTGCTTGTGCTTTCTTATATCTATACGTAGTTCTTTTGATCAAAGCTGAAAAAGTAAAAGATTTAATCACTCAAGAAATTAATATGCTGAATATGTTATGATTCAATCATTGTTTATAAATATACGAGAAGTGTGTTTTTTTATCAATTCACGAGCACTACACTGCATTACAGCTCCCAGTCATTTTTCCTCTTCATAAACACAGTAACCATGGTAACAAACTTGTACAACTCCTTCACCTCTTATTCTTGGACTCATCATTGTATAAGCAATACATGTATTGTAAATTCCCAATCTCAGCAGATACATTAAAATATACAGTAATATTTTTTACTGGATTCCCACATTACGAGAAACTGCTGTGAAGGTAACACCAGTAAGACACCAAACTCTTTTGGGAAAGATATTTTTGGAAATTTTGCATTCCTCCATGTCGGCATATCACTTTGAGTGTACATTTATAAAGCTGAATTCTGAAAAACTTCATATCATTACTTAATACCCTAGATATGAGCCTTCCTACATTAAGACGTTTACTGTACTTGAGCTTGTGGTGAGAGTCATGTTAGGGATATTAACAAATGAAGATGAGATTTGATAATATAGCCATATGTATTCTGATTCCAACACTTAGATATGAGGAGGAAATGGTATATCTTCAGTATATAAAAGCAGCAAGAGATCATCTTTTTAGTTCTTCCAGTCTCGAAAGTGGTGAATGCATAATGTTCATGTAAATAGTCGCTCTGATTTTGCAATTTAATTAATATCGGTCTTTATTCATTCACTATGTAGACAAACACAGATGTAGTGATAGTGATACTCCTTCACTCTACAAATACCTAATCAATTATTGTACCTGGTGCATTTTAGTTCATACAGTATTTAATTAATTTAATTTGCAGATATGCAGATACCTCTAGCTTTTATATTCCTAGATGAGGACAAAGAGAATGTACTAGTTGCATGTTTATCCACTCACTTGCAACATTATGAGTGTGTGTTGGTTGTGGTTTCTTTACTCTTTAGTAACTGTGTGTATATAAAAGCAGCATGTGTTCCCTACTGTGTTTGCCTGTTGTGTGACAGTTCAGTATAGAGAACGGCAGGAAGCATTGCCCACTGCACAGTGGCGTCACCTAATGTATAGGAGTGTTGTGTTCTTCCCTAATCACAAATGCCAAGGAAACTGGTGCTATTTACTTTGTATAGTAAGCACAAAGGTTTACAGAATTGAGCATTTTAAGTGCACATAACACATGTTGTAGGACTCGTCAGAGATAAATATATAAATACAGTATATATAATGTAACGATTTATAGTTAATTACTGCAGCAACCTTAGAAGACTAAACTATTTGTACAATTGTAAATACTAATAGTGTAACACCTGTTTGCATTATGAGTGAAGTATTATAGAGAGAATTTGCACATTTTGTATTAACTTTTACAAAAAATATAGAAGCACTTAAGTCCTTACTCTGTGTCTTGAACACTTTGTCTTTGTTTGAGTTCATTTGTTTCTTTCTTTGCAGCCTTTGCAAATGCAACACATATTGTACATCATTTAAGTAAGGTTGCCCCTTGTGTGTAGAGGGTTTTATTTCTCAAAATATCTTGTACAGTATTATAATTATAATTTGCACTGTTTGAACATATGGTCATATGATTTTTTTTATTTGCTTATCTCCTCTGGGTTGTAAATATTGTATGCAGTTCCTCTTTATATTGATCATGTAACATGGTTTTCTAATTTATCTCACTACTAACTATGTTGTGAGTAAATAAATTTTGTATGGTATGTCAAGAAATTAATTTTAATTTTATGATTTGCTTCACATGAATATATTTTTAATGTCTTGAAGTAACTAGAAGCTTTCTTTAGCTATTGCTGTAAATGTATTGTTAATGAGTATAATTCTTAAATAAACATACTGTGTTTTCTGTACATCCATCTCCACCCTCATTTCTTCCTTTTTTTCCTTAATTGTAATACAGTACAATACCTTTGATTTTCCTCACTAACCTTCATTGGTTCTCTCTCATCAATAAGTCTTCTCCTGACCTGCTTATCTGACCCTGCAATCCTTTTGTGAATACAGTACTGTATATACAAGATATGAATGTATTTCTTAATACTTAAATAAGATGTCACAGTACAGTATTTAATTTTAAATAATAATTTGGTGGAATAATGACATAAATCACTGTGCATGCCTATTGATTATAGAGAATTTAAAAAAAAATTGGAATGTAAAATTGCTATACAGGTATGTTCGTAGTTCATGTGTATGACATAATGATTACAATATAGACATTTATAAACAGGATATATTTGCCTTCTTCATTGTTTACTTGGAGACCAGCACAGCTGATTTACAGGCATTATTTGCATAACTAGTCACTTTCTGACTCCATCTACCTCTTACAGGGAATTCCCTGTTAACAAATGCAACTATATAAACCACAGATATAGCCTTGCTTGCATTACCAGAAAATGTTTAAGAGTAGGTCTTGTAATTTATTTTATTCTACATTGTACAATTCTTTTATTAAATATTTAAGATTAATTTCAAGATAAGAAATGTATATCATATATTTTCAAAGATAGTATATGGTGAGTTGTTTCTTCGTCTTGTTATATGTTTTATAAGATGATCTGTCATAACTTTACTCAAAATACCAACATTTGGAGTACTGCAGCATAAGGTGACATATCACCCATCATTATCAAAGCTGAACGGGTCCAAATTATCATTTTAGCAACTAAAAGGTCCCTTCCAGGTACCTGTGGTTGGCCCTTCTGCTCCCTTTTTATTGATATTGGTAAATTAGATACCCCACTTGGCATTAGGGCACACTATGCTCTCATGCTGGTCATTTTGAGGTGCAGCAGTTCAGGGTTCCATTTGCTAGTACAGGTACTGTATATGTGGAAGGTCCCCACTAGCCACATAAGGTAACCCTTGTGAGCATTACCTAACTCTTAGTAACTCTCCAGAAATCTATATTGAAAAGTAATAGCATCTTACCCTATACAGTACTGAGAAGTAGTAGAATACTTGGAAAACTGGACTTATTTGGTCTCCTCTGGTCACATGTACGGTAACTGCCCTAGTTTCTCCGCTAGGTGTAAGTGGCAGACCCAATGAGCTACCAGTTAAACATTGTTCACGTCCCCTCATTTTTCTCAGTAGGCATTAGTGAGTCTGCCTGTAGGTCCTGGGTGGAGATGGTAAAATACACTCACACTGAGCATCACTGCCATGGCTGGCGGCACTGTGCCGTCTGGCTCCTACAAACAGTGTGGGCAGTGAGACACAGTACACACCCTTTGCTCTTAGTACCCACAGTTGTTACCACAAAATCCTTTTATGGACATTTAGTATTCCGAGTGTATATGCTTACAATGGATGCAGTTAGTCTGTATTCTACTTTTTAGCCAGCTAGTAGATTGTATCATTAGAATTTATTTTCCAAGCATATGTCGGAGTCTTTTTAAATACAAGCTATAGTTGAAGACCTGTGTCTTTCAAGAGAACATGTAGATATTTGGTCTTGAAAGCATCTACTGATTAATTGTTTGTACATATGACAGACTATATATATATCCTTGATTACTGTGTGATGTGTTCAACCAGAATCAAAAAAATTTATGAACTTGCGCCCGGAATGTGTAGAAGCAGAAGGGTCCGTCTTGTTACACTGCCATGTATAGCATAATGTTTGGTTTACCTGTTCACATTGTCAGTATTCTTTATACTAAAATGGCTACAAGTGTGGCAAGCATATACTGTATAGTGGAGGCATAATCGGTATACATAAAAAGGAAGTGGTGTATGTGTACTGTACTAGCAAACTGATCTACACATAAAGGGGATGTAGATATGTGTTTAAGGAGAAAGTGAACTCCACATCAGGGGAGGTGGGATGCATGAATTTTATCCTAGGAAGATGCTAAAACAAAGATTGGGTTGATAATTTAGGAACAGATAAAATGTGGTTTACAAGTGTGAGTGTACTGTATATAGGGGGAAGGTGTTTTGGTCTACTTGTTAAGAAAGTGCATACATACAATACAGTCGTTCACATAAGAAGGGTAAAGGGAAGTCACTGACGGTTGATCAAGGACCAAAATTATTATTATTTGAGTTGGTGGTCCACAAAGTAAACAAACAATTTTTTATCAGGATATTTGTTTAAAAGTGTGAGGTGGGAATTGTTTAGTTGGGCTTTCTCATCAGTATAACAATATAATGTGTATCTCAAATGGGTATGGGGAGAATTCTTGGACAGTCAACAGTGTCTGCTTGACCTGTCAGAAAATGTATCTAATTTTTCATGTTTATTGTGTTTATGTTACTCATTATCTGCTCCTTAGAGCATTATTCTGTGAGAACCAAGACTAACTACTTTCACATCTTTGAAACTGTACAGCAAATAATACCATTACTTATGCCTTAGTCTGGATACAACAGTACATATTGGTTTACCTTTAAGCTTAATTGAACTTGTCCTCAGACAACAAAGAAGCACAACATAGGTTAGAATAGAATGAACTAAACAAGATACTTTGTTGTTTATGTAACTTGTGTATGTTTTTGCAGTTTTTTAAGGTAGATATGTGCATAACATTTATATTTCACTGAATATTGATTTATAGGAATTTAATTTGTCATTATTGTATCATATACATATTTAAAGTCTCAAAAGATGTTCATAAATGCAAAGAGTGACTAGTAGTTGCTCTCAAATGTTGGACAACAACATAGGAAAGTTCAACTGTTTAATTAGCTATCTAGGATTACAGAAATTGTTGTAAATGTGTAATTGTAAATTTTGAGCCTGACAATCTTGGGAATAAAGATTTCCTCAGTCTATGTGACTGTCACTGCAGTGAAGCTCACCAAGTTTTTATCAACAGTGAGAGAATCCTTCAATGAATTTGTGTAAATAATGAATTCCAGAATTATAATAAGATTTTCTGTATAATACAAGTTAAAAAAAAATTACAGACAAATTTTCTAACTTGAAAATGAATTATTCTGTGACATGTGAGAGGTGAATTAAAGTACACTACGTACAGTATTTAGGACTGCCACTCGCAACAAAACTCACGATTTCCATTCCTCAAGGAATTACCTCATTCTATACAGGATTAATGCAATCATATGTCCTTCATATGTACACTGTAAGGGTAATTATTTAGATTTGAATATTAATCTTTGAATTTGATTTCTGTTATTCATACTTTGAGTAAGGTAGACACATAGTTGATAAAACTTGATTAGACAATGCACTGTAATCTTTTAGAAAGAGGTTGCCTTCATGGAGAGGATGGCTGTCTGATCCCACACTGTATGGTCTTAACATCTTTAGGGTGAAAAAACAAAACAAACAGAGCTTCCTATCTTTTGTTTATTCCAAGGCAACAAGGACAAGAGTGTGAGAGCTCTCTTGTTTTCATTTTCCTCTGGACGTGAAGATATTAATTCTACAGTACTGTACCATTAGTGATTTGGGATTTATGTATGAACTCACTCACTCACAAGGTAAGAGTCTTGAAAGGAATTTAATCCCTTTTGATGTTAGAGGATAAAGTTATTAAAACACTCCAAAGATAAAGCTACAGGGGGCAACATCTTATCTCTTTATTCTATTTTGTTGATTTTTGTGTTATTGTTCTTATGTGATCATTCATGTTGTTCATACTGTACCAGAAATACTTTATTATTCATTTCCTCTTTTCCTAATTGTTAATTTGTGCTCTACCTACAGTACGTGTTAATGGGCTCTTTGATCCACATGCTGATCTGTTAGGTGGCATCAAACTGAGGAATGAATGTTGGAGAACTGCTAAAATCGAGTCCTGTAACTGAATAGCAAATTTATTTGATTTGCCAAATTTTAAAAAATAAATTCATTGAAAAATGGGATTTTCCAAGGAATTTATTTTATTTTTCACGTGGTGAATATTTTTATTATTACGTATTATTATTATTATTATTATTATTATTTTATTTTAATTCTGTACAATATTGCATTTTGTTCTAAATAGAAAATTTGTCTGTAGCAATACTGTACGGTACTTATTAGATTTTTAAGCCATTTTTCCAGTTATGAGAATTACAAAAATCTGGAATTCTTTAATAAAAAAATAACATGAAATCATGATCAGTGAGTTACAGTACTTCAGCCTCTCCTATAAGGGTTTATATTATACAGTACTGTATAAGGGGTTTCAGTAAGTAGTTGTAATGTGTTAATACTGTATGTCTGGACAATTTACTTTAATTAAAAAAAGCTGTTGATACATTTAACTGATACTTAAAAAAAATAATAATTCCAATCCTGTACATGACAAAAATTGGAACATGTAATAACTGCAAAATTTTATTGCTTGATATTCGGAAATAAATTTAAAAAAGAAAAATGTTAAGAGAATGCACCAACACTTTCAGTTTTTGGAAGATAAGTTTCAAGTGCAGTACTTTTTTCTTTTTCAGTTAGCCTTTCCTGACACACAGCACCATGGATCAATTAGCTGTGGGTAAGTTACTTTTTTCCACAATTTACTGAAACCCCTGTGCATAGTAGTAGGGGTCACACACCTGGTCAGTAGTAGAGGTAATAACACCTGGTCAGTAGTAGAGGTAATAACACCTGGTCAGTAGTAGAGGTAATAACACCTGGTCAGTAGTAGAGGTAATAACACCAGGTCAGTAGTAGAGGTAATAACACCTGGTCAGTAGTAGAGGTAATAAGACAACTGGCCAGTAGTAAAGGTAATAACACACCTGGTCAGTAGTAGAGGTAATAACACACCTGGTCAGTAGTAGAGGTAATAACACACCTGGTCAGTAGTAGAGGTAATAACACCTGGTCAATAGTGGAGGTAGAACACACCTGGTCAGTTGTAGAGGTAATAACACCTGGTCAGTAGTAAGTAATAACACCTGGTCAGTCGTAGAGTAATAATAACACACCTGGTTAGTAGTGGAGGTAGAACACCTGGTCAGTAGTAGAGTAATAACTTACACCTGGTCAGTAGTAGAGGTAATACTTACACACACAGTCGGTAGTAGAGAGTAATAACACACCTGGTTAGTAGTGGAGTAAGAACACCCTGGTCAGTAGTAGAGGTAATAACACACCTGGTTAACAGTGGAGAGTAGAACACCTGGTCAGTAGTAGAGGTAATAAACACACCTGGTCAGTGATAGAGTAATAACACACCTGGTCAGTAGTAGAGTAATAACACACCTGAATTCAGTAGTAGAGGTAATAAACACACCTGTGGTCAGTAGTAGAGGTAATAACACCTGGTCAGTAGTAGAGGTAATAACACACCTGGTCAGTAATAGAGGTAATAACACACCTGGTCAGTAGTAGAGGTAATAACACACCTGGTCAGTAGTAGAGGTAATAACACACCTGGTCAGTAGTAGAGGAAATAACACCTGGTCAGTAGTAGAGGTAATAACACACCTGGTCAGTAGTAGAGGTAATAACACACCTGGTCAGTAGTAGAGGTAATAACACACCTGGTCAGTAGTAGAGGTAATAACACACCTGGTCAGTAGTAGAGTAATAACACACCTGGTCGGTAGAGTAATAACACACCTGTCAGTAGTAGACACACCTGGTCAGTAGTAGGGTAATAACACACCTGGTCAGTAGTAGAGTAATAACACCTGGTCAGTAGTAGAGGTAATAACACACCTGGTCAGTAATAGAGGTAATAACACACCTGGTCAGTAGTAGAGGTAATAACACACCTGGTCAGTAGTAGAGGTAATAACACACCTGGTCAGTAGTAGAGGAAATAACACACCTGGTCAGTAGTAGAGGTAATAACACACCTGGTCAGTAGTAGAGGTAATAACACACCTGGTCAGTAGTAGAGGTAATAACACACCTGGTCAGTAGTAGAGGTAATAACACACCTGGTCAGTAGCAGAGGTAATAACACACCTGGTCAGTAGTGGTAATAACACACCTGGTCAGTAGTAGAGTAATAACACACCTGGTCAGTAGTAGATGTAATAACACACCTGGTCAGTAGTAGAGTAATAACACCTGGTCAGTAGTAGAGTAATAACACCTGGTCAGTAGTAGATGTAATAACACACCTGGTCAGTAGTAGAGGTAATAACACACCTGGTGTAGTGGAGTAAGAACACACCTGGTCAGTAGTAGAGTAATAACACACCTTGTCAGTAGTAGAGTATAACACCTGGTCAGTAGTGGGTAGAACACACCTGGTCAGTAGTGGAGGTAATAACACCTGGTCAGTAGTGGGTAGAACACACCTGGTCAGTAGTGGAGTAATAACACCTGGTCAGTAGTAAGTAATAACACTCCTGGTCAGTAGTGGAGTAAAACACACCTGGTCAGTAGTGGAGGTAATAACACCTGGTCAGTAGTAGATGTAATAACACACCTTGTCAGTAGTAAGTAATAACACCTGGTCAGTAGTGGAGGTAGAACACACCTGGTCAGTAGTAGAGAATAACACACCTTGTCAGTAGTAGAGGTAATAACACCTGGTCAGTAGTGGGGTAGAACACACCTGGTCAGTAGTGGAGTAATAACACCTGGTCAGTAGTGGAGTAGAACACACCTGGTCAGTAGTGGAGTAATAACACCTGGTCAGTAGTAGAGGTAATAACACTCCTGGTCAGTAGTGGAGTAGAACACACCTGGTCAGTAGTAGAGGTAATAACACCTGGTCAGTAGTAGATGTAATAAACCTTGTCAGTAGTAGAGGTAATAACACCTGGTCAGTAGTGGAGAGGCTGGTCAGTAGTAAGTATACCTTGTCAGTAGTAGGTAATAACACCCTGGTCAGTAGTGGTAGAACACACAGTCGTAGTGATAATAACACACCTGGTCAGTAGTGAGCCTGGTCAGTGTGGAATAGAGTGATCCTGGTCAGTAGTAGTATGGTCGTTGTAGAAACAACACCTGGTCAGTAGTAGAGAATAACACCTGGTCAGTAGTAGGGTAATAACACACCTGGTCAGTAGTGAGGTAATAACACACCTGGTCAGTAGTAAGGTTGGTCAGGTATGCACCTGGTCAGTAGTGATAACCTGGTCAGTAGTGGGGTAGAAAACACTGGTCAGTAGTGAGTAAACACCTGGTGTGTGAGTAACGTATAGGATACACCCTGGTCAGTAGTAGAGGTAATAACACACCTGGTGTAGTAGAGTAATAACACACCTGGTCAGTAGTGGGTAATAACACCTGGTCAGTGAGGTAATAACACCTGGTCAGTAGTAGAGGTAATAACACACCTGTCAGTAGTGAAGTGTAACACCTGGTCAGTAGTGGGGTAAGAACACACCTGGTCAGTAGTGGAGGTAATAACACCTGGTCAGTAGTGGAGTAAGAACACACCTGGTCAGTAGTAAATGTCATAACACCTGGTCAGTAGTAGAGTAATAACACCTGGTCAGTAGTGGAAATTAACCTGGTCAGTAGTAGGGTAATAACCCCTGGTCAGTTGTAGAGTATTACCTGGTCGTAGTAGAGTAACCTTCGTAGTAAGTAATAACACACCTGGTCAGTAGTAGAGGTAATAACACCTGGTCAGTAGTAGAAATAACACCTGGTCAGTAGTGAAGTAATAACACACCTGGTCAGTAGTAAGTGTAACACCTGGTCAGTAGTAGAGAATAACACACCTGGTCAGTAGTAAGGTAATAACACCTGGTCAGTAGTAGAGTAATAACACACCTGGTCAGTAGTAGAGAGTAGTAAGACACCTGGTCAGTAGTAAATAATACACCTGGTCAGTAGTAGGTAATAACACCTGGTCAGTAGTGGTAATAACACCTGGTCAGTAGTGAGGTAATAACACCTGGGAGTAATAA